TGTTGAAAATAAAAAAGATGGTGATAGCACATTGTCACTCACGAAATAGTGTATAGATGGTGTGGAGAGGGATTGATCTCCCTCTCCCCACAATATCCCATGGGGATTTGCTGTTTTCCTGTTTTTTTTTTTCGGTGGTGCGGGAGAGGGACGGGGTTCGTCGGACACCCTCCCTCTCCCTCACCGCCGAGGGGGTCCGGTGCGGGAGACGGACGGGGTTGGACTGACACCCTCCCTCTCCCGCACCGTCGAGGGGGTCCGGCGTTCTGGCCACAAGTGACCGGCGTGGGGGTCCGGCGGCGGTGCGGGAGAGGGACGGGGCCCGACCGCCCCCCGTGTCGCCCAAAGCGTCGAGGGGGTCCGGCGTTCCCTGAACGCCGGACCTCAGCACCGATCACACGGGGGGGGTCCGGCGTTCTAGGAACGCCGGATCCCCTCGGTGGTGCGGGAGACAGACGGGGTTGGACTAACACCCTCCCTCTCCTGCACCGCCGAGGGGGTCCGACGTTCCCAGAACGCCGAACCCCCCCCCACGTGTGACCGGCGTGGGGGTCCGGTGTTCTGGGAACGCCGGACCCCCTCGGTGGTGCGGGAGAGGGACGGGGGGGAGAACGCCGGACCCCCTCGGTGGTGCGGGAGAGGGACGGGGCCCGACCAACCCCCGTGTCGCCCAAAGCGTGGAGAGGGTCCGGTGTTCCCTGAACGCCAGACCCGAACGCCGGTCACGTGTGGGGGGTTCGGCGTTTTGGCAACGTCGGACCCGCTCGGCGGTGCGGGAGAGGGACGGGGACCGACCAACCCCCATGTCGCCCAAAGCGTCGAGGGGGTCCGGTGTTCCTAGGACGCCGGACCCCCTCGGCGGTGCAGGAGACAAAGTGGTCCGACGAACCTCATGCCGTCCACAGCGCCGAGGGGTCCGGCGTTCTCTGAACGCCAGATCCCCGCGTTGGTTGAGGTGCCTCGTGTTGTGGTCTTCAGGCAACAAATGCTCCTTCATGTCACTCAATTCCTTTCTCTTGTTGTCTTTTCTTTTTTCCCCCGTGACCTCCTTCAGGTAAATCAGCTTCGGCCTATGTCCCTGACAAACGTGCATACGGTAGGTCTAAGCTCTACAACGATAAACCCTGGGCTCTTGACTGGGTTGGTGGTCTTCATACATCCGGTTGTGGAGTCGTCATGTTCTTGAGCGATGACAACAGCGGGAGTTGGTACTGTTGCGGAGGTGTGGAGAAATCAGAAACAGGGAGGACTAACTACGATGGCAGAAAGTTTAGGACCTTCTTCCTTACGTCTGTCTATGACGGCGAGGGAAAGAACTGGGTCAAGGAAGACAAGAAGGTGTCTCTTGACCTTCGGCTCTTCCAAGGTTATGGGGTGAAGGCTTTGTCGATGAAAGCGTTTGACATGCGAGGGAACGGAAGGGAGTTCCAAATGCTGGATCCATAAAAGTTTCTCTCCAAATCAATGGTTACCGCGTCACTGGGTCCCTGCCCGTTGTCGACAACACTTTCTTGCTCAGCAGACCTTTGGTCCAGTTCAACAGCCCGACGGACCAGTTGGCAACTGTCGTTATGCGATACAGGGAACAGTTCGCGACGTTGCGTGCTGCCCAGCAAGTTGATTGTGTTTTTGTGCCCATTGATGCGGGGTCCAAACGCCGCCAAGATCCGCCGGCCAGAGCGGGTGGGAAGAGGAAACAATTGGCGACTGCCCCGCTTTCGTCCAATGCAGTTGCCCGGGCTTTTCCCACTCCGGTTCCGCCCTCCGATCGACAAGGTCGCGATGCGGCGGAGCAGTCCAGCGAGGCCATAGACTACAACGACGGAGCTCTGCGCCACCTAGCTAGTCCCCAACATCGTTCCCGGGAGGTACATGTGCCTTTAACGAGGAGTAATGCGAGGGCCAAGAGGGGGAAGGCGGTGGTGAGGAGGGGGACGACGGTAACGAAGGAGATGCTGAAGGTGAGGGCAATGACATGGACGAGGAGCTGTTGGTGAGGATGACGCCTACGGAGTCGGTGACGCGGATGACGTGGATGGTGCCGGAATGTCGCAGTCGTTTAACTAGGCGAAGGATGGGATAGAGAAACATGGCTCACGGGGAAAGAGAAAGAGGGGAGAAGCGTTGACCTCTACTGCCAGCCAAACGAAACAAGCGAGCACTGACGCCGTCAATGAGGCTTGCGGAGCGTTGACGGCATCCCAGGAAGCGCAGACTCCTCGGAAAACTAGGGGGGGGGGGGGAAGTGGCAGTCGTGGCGGCGGCCGTGGCGGCGGTAGAAAAGGCTCGCAGAGGGCCAGGACACAAGAGTTGCAGGACTCTGGGGATGAGGACGAGGGGGTGGGGCCTCGCATGCCCGATGATGTTAACGAGTTGTTTCAGTGCGCCGCGCCCCTTGACACAACACGATGTTTCTTTCTCGAATACGACGAGCAAGGCTTCGCCAGGCAAGATGTCCATGTTGTTAACGTCGACGTCACAAGAATCAAACGCATTCCCCGTGGGAGGATCCTTTATAACCACCGCTGCTTGTCCGAGAACATTGTGAGAGGCATCGAGAATGCCATAGAAAGCTCCCTCACTGCCGACCCGGGGACGTGGGATAGACCTGAGCTCGTTCTTGCACCTGTTGATCTGGACGACGTCGTCGGCGGGCAGGGAAGGCGAATCACGCCGGACGAGTTCTTCAAAAGGGACTCTGCGGAGTTCGACTGGTACGCTGTCTGTGGTCAGCATACCGCCGAGGCCATGAAACGGTTGGTGGCAAAGGACTCCGCCACGGTCAAAGTCTATGGCCTCCGTGCGTACTCTAAAGTGCGAGTCGTCTTTTTCAAAGATGACCAGACACGAGGGTACTTCATTGTCTCGGCCTTCGACAACACACGTGAGAATCGCGCCATGATGTTGTCCTTCCAAGACGCTGTGCGTGATATAAGGCAATGGCGGATCGACAACAACAGAATCGAGACCCCCAAAACTAAGGTCAGCGAGAAGGATGTCGTTGTCGTTGCGCGCCAGAAAACGTGGCAAAACTTCATGAGGGCCTGCATGGGGAAGGCGTGTGACAAGGCGTTTGTGAAACAGCCGCTCGACAATGAATACAGTAAGGATTGGAGTAATAAACTCCGGGGGTACATGAACCTCGCTACGTCCACCGCCGCAGTCTGGCCACTGGTGGAGAGGTTCTTCGCAATGTTCGAGGAAGGTCAGCTACCAATCGACGATGGCAAGATCCCGCTTGACATGCCGGGGAGGATGCCAAATGATATCATGGCCCCACTTGTCCTCACTAGTGCGGGCGAATTTGTCATCCAAGAAACACATATTGTTTGGGTCCGCACAAAAGTTGGGAGGAATCGGATCGCCTGGCGCCAGCTTCGTTGCCTCATCAGGAATATCAATCTCATCGTCTTCGCCGTCTTCGATAGGCGTACAGTCAATCCGGTCCACCATCGAGGCTACATTGTTCGCGAGTGGCGGGTTTGAGCATCCCTCTGATCGACCCGGTCCATATTCCCTGCCGTCACGCTCCATGGCAGCGGACTGCCCACGCCACTCGGCTGCATTGGTGTCGTTTTCAATCTCGAGTTCGGAGTCCGATGAGTCTTCCTCGCTGTCGACGGGGTTAAAGCTTTCACCCGATTTAGCGAGGTCTGCATAGTCCTTGAACGTCAGTTGATCTTTATGAAGATCAAACTTCAATATCTCACATTGAGCAACGAATGTCTCGAAGGCGCCAGTCAGAGCACTGTGATAATGTTTGAAGGCCTATGTCACCTTGACTTTCTTATATATATATCTTCCGTCAAGACATCCCTCCGGCGCATCGCGCATCGCGGAACAGGTATTCCCACACCTTCAGTCTCTTCGGTCCCAACTTGTGGTACATGTCCCTGTTGTTGCGATGTATGGAACGCGGCTTCTCGAGTCGGCAGTTGAATCTGTCATCCTTGACAAGTATGTCGATGAACTTTGTCAAGTATGAAATGTCCTTGGCCGACTCGTCACAGACAATGACATTATTACCTACAAGCATGAACTCCCACACAAGACCCGCGTGCGCCCGACCCATCAAAATGACACCTTCCGCTTCTCCGACGAATGAACTGCACAACTTCCGCAACTTGCCGGGTTCTCGCTCCCAAATCGAATATGCAGCACTTTCGTTGCCTTCGACGCCACCGTGTTTTCCTTCACACTTCCCGAACTTATCCTCCACAACATGCACTTTTGTGAGATCATTGAGAAGTCGGGTACGACAGTTACTTTTTCTAGATCCCCTCCCTCAGCGTGCATTATGATGGCCATCAAGTCCCGACTCGACGTAGCGATGTTGCCGTACCTTGTGACGTCACTCGATGGTCTGTCCACCCGTTTCCAGGACCCAAAGATGAGTTCGACGTCCTCCCAACGGAACAAGTGACGCAAGACATCGCTTTGCACCTTCTGCGGTGCAAAGAAGAAGAGGACCCAATTCAGACCACAACACTTCGTCATCATAGCCCCTAACACAGGTTACAGGGTTAATACCCCTGCGCCGACAACGTCGAACGGTCAGGCCTCAAGCTCCCCTATACCGGCCTGTGTCGTCCTAGCATCGTCCTTTTAACCTACTTATCTTAGCAAATGACCTTCCTCTGTTGAGAGTCTTCCTTTCTACCTACCATCCTCCAGTTTTAGCATCCCCCACCCTTCCTTCTTTTCTTTGAGATACCAACTTAGAACCCCCCAACCGAAATACCTGGCTTCGGCTAAGAAAAAACAGAAAGACCACCCACAATCCAGCTCTTCCCCGTATTGCAGAAGGAGGACTACTGCCCAGGCATTTAGTCCTCGTACAAGAACTCGCTAGATCTCATACCCCCCTTGCTAGGGTGACAGGACAACGCGAACTGCCCCAGTACCGACCGAACTAGTTCTGACAGATAGGAAGTGTCTTCCTCCCTCGACAACTTCCTTAGCTGCACAGCCCCCAAGGCTACAGGGTCCCTGCCCCGGCATCAGCTTCGTTGAACAAGATGGCGATGCCTTCCACCCTCGGCATAGCTCCAATAGTCTCAAGCTCCCCCTGGTTACAGAGCGATTGCTCCATCACCGACCATTGTCACCCCACCCCACCCTTCTAATAGACCTTCCGCCGTGAGCTCCAATCTTTCCACTGCGCGAGCACCACCCTACTAAAACCACCCCTGTTTTTCTTTTTTTTTTAGACATTCAATCAAGAACATACTGAAGAATCAGAAGAATCAGAAAATCAGAAGATTGAGAAAACCATATACACCTTTCAGCGCCTATTATTTCCACAAGAAGAGGGGAAGGGAGGAAAAAAACACCCTCTCTCCCTATGGAAACTCCAGCGCCTATTCTAATCTCAATTGTATAAACAAGGCTCACAAGAACCAAAACGGATTACTCCTCTCACTCAAGAAACGCCCCCCCTGTCTGATACTGCCTCCACGGGGAAGCGCCCCCTCACCTCCCAGCCCAGTACAAAACAGCCCCCTAAGTACCACTCCTGCTCCCTCAGCTGCATACAGTACCTCCTAAAGTATGCCCCACAAAGCCTACGATCCCCCTTCCCTCCTGCCCCACCCCCTCCAAGTGAAACAGCCTTAGAACGTCTCATCATGCTGACATCAGCACCCCTTGTCCTCTCTCCCCAACCGTCGTAGCTGATCCGACCAAAAAATCAGCGTGGCCCAAAGAAGGACAAACCCTTTACACCCCCCCTCCCTCTCAAAGATCACACCACCCACCCTATGTAACCCTCGCAAGGAGGGGTTCCAACCCTAAAGGAGATGCTACCATTCAGGTTCAATAGCCAACAACTTTGTCTATTCAGAGCCATGCTTAGAAATTATTGAGACCTCAAAACCAGTGCCATCACCCTGAACGTGAATGGCACCGGTCACTTGAACGTGACCGGCCGTTCATTTGGTGTTTTTTTTTGTGAACGGGCAAACCATGAAAGAGTGGTGTTTTTTTTTTTTTTTTTTTTTTTTTTTTTAGGGTCTCACCCAGCGAAGGCCGCCTTAAGCCCGACAATGTGATCACATTGAAAAAATTTAAAAACATTGAAATAACCTACAAAATAACAAACGAAAATGTTTATTTTGGCTAGTTGAATTTTTTTTTCCGTTTTTAATTACAGAAAAATATTATTCGCTAAAAACCAAAATTGAAAAAATTATGGGGGTTACCCTTCGATGACCCCCACCCTCCTATAAAAAGAAAACAACACCCCCCCCTTCAACCGAAAAAAAATAAAAAATGATCCTGCTCTCCGTGAACTCCATGAACTCCCATGTCGTGAACTCCGTGAACTCCATGACTGGTTTCCGTTCACAGACCCCGTGAACGGTGAATGGGGGTACGACACTGCTCAGAACTAAGTCCGATTTTTTTGAGAAATCGCAAATCAAAAGTCAGACGATTAGAACTTGAGTCAAAACACTCAGTAACTAGAATTCAAAATCAAGATTACGTATTCATGCATTTAATCGTCAAAACAAATCAAAAGATCGAACGAAAAACAAGCGACATCAAATATCGAATTCAGTTTGTTCAAAAGGAGAATTACTTCGGAAGCATACTTTAAGAAATTGAAAATTTGCACTAACACTGACGGGGTTAAATAAAAAAAAATAATAATTAAAAAAAATAAAAATTGGAACAAAATAGGGAATCAATTCTGATGTTCGAAAGGAATGTCGACTCTGATTTCCATAACCCCATGGTTCAAGAAATCGTTCCGAAAGTAATTCAAAAAATACCAAGTAGAAGAAGCAAATCGACGATTAATTGTGTATGAGAGAAACCAAAACGATTCTAAAACCAAACGCAAAATCAACGAAAAAATTACGCGCTACCGATTAAGATCAACTAAGGAGTCGAACATGCCATCCAAGAATTTTTATCAAAAATTCCCATATCAAGAAAAAGAGGCAAATCACTCATCGCTGCCTACCGACCGATGACTGGCTGATCGACCATACACAGCTCGAACAACAAGGAAGGGCGCTTCCCTGGTGCCGAGGTTGCCGACAGAACTTCCCCGGCCATAGGCGCTCCGAGACGATTGAGCACGTCTTCCTCCAGTGCCCTGGAGCAGTCCTGTTATGGAGGTGGTGGGATAGGATCTGGCAGCACATCGTCCCAAGCTCCGTATGGCCATGGGAATGGCGAGCGATCCTGTTAGGGCACTACCCCCCCTCTCGGGACAACACCTTTGTAGCCAACATGTTCACTCTCAGTAGGCGCACCATCCTATGGACCATATGGTGGCGACGATGCATCCTGGAACTGGAAGGGGCAAGGGTGGAGGCGGGGCAAGTCACAGAACAGATCAGACTGCTCTTCCAGCATGACATAGCGGCGCAATGGCAGACAGTCAAGGAGAATCTAGATCAGCTGCACAGCAAAAGGGACATTAAGAACAATATCTCCCGTTTCTGTGAGTATTGGATGGGCAGGGAAAGGGAGGGCTGGGTTGCGAAGGTGAGCTGGACGGGTGATAGGCTGGGCCAGCAGAACGAAGAACAAGGAGCGGAACGCGACTACCACCTTCACTTCAAGGACTGGACCACGGTGAATCCCGGCGAACAGCTGAGACCCGCACAGGATTTTGGTGATCCCTTTCCCCCCCACCCGCTGGCCCTGGAGGAATATCTGGGGACCTAAAATCAGCACTGCAGTGGTTGGGTGGCTCACCTTAGACCCGACCCATGATTAGAAAAATTTCTGACTCAGTTATTAGCACTATGGTGTCAGACTGTTTTCTCTGAGTTTTTGTTGCATGATTGATTCCACAAGTCTCACTGTTACTTGGACACCCTAGTTTCGATATGTTGTACAGAGGACACTGGGATAGGAGGGCGGCAGGAATTAGGGGAGGGAGGGAGCACCCACCGGTCCCCCCCGGTGGGTCTCCCCCTAGTCCCCGACGATGCTGCAGGCAAAGGCTAGATCTGGGTAGAGTTCCGCTTTGGGACGCTGGACCCGGTTTCCAGCACAACGGCGTCACTTCCAATGATGTATTGCTTCCAAAAAAAAAAAAAAGATATGATGTTCGTCAAAAAAAAAAAAAAGACGCAATAGGCGCCATGAGGACAGTAGGAGGATGGCAGAGGCTAGGGGATGGAAGGAGATCCCACTGGTGCCCCCCGGTGGTCCCCCCCAATACCCAACCCTACTGCAGGTGAGGTACGGGAGAGCAGACTGGACACGGGACGCTGGACCCGGTTTCCAGCACATTGGCGTCATCCGCATGAATGTATTGCTCTGCAAAGATGTAT